AGAATCAATCTCCCTTGATTGGTCGTGACTGAAGAAGAACATTCCTGATTTTACCTGTAGCAGAACTCCAAGCTTATAAAATGTGCAGGTCTGAATCAACAGATGTAACATTATGTATAATGAATGTTCCAAATATATTGAAATAAAGCATTTACATCTTAATCATCGAACTTTGGCACTATGATGAAGTAACTATTTCTAAATATTAAATGTTCATCATAACACAATAATATATTCCTAAGGTTTCATATATTTATGTTTTAAATTAAAATTTAGATATATATTCTGTTTTCTTTATGAAATAACTTTTTTTTATTACATGTGGGAGAACTACGAATATTTCATGCGTTCAATTAATTCATTTCCTAACGTTGCAAACTCTGTAAACCTGTGAAGTATATAATTTCTACTCTAACCAGGAAGGCTTTCATCCAGCAAAGGTATTTTATTCCTAATTGTCATTACAAGATTGTATCTATTCAATTGATTTTTAGTTTGAGCACAATGCACAAGAATTTTCCTGTTGTCTAAACCTCGTATAAACATAGTCTTAATCTTCTGCACTACAAGTGCACCATACTAATGCGTAAATATCATTTTACTACGCGTAAATATCATTTTATTTTCAACTGTACATATACCGCTTAATGAAAAAAAAAATCGTTGTCAATTTCGGAATAAATTTCTGTTTGATAGATCAATCAAAAGATCCTAGTTTCTTTATTTATTGAGAAGGGAATAGTGAGAACTTGTAATAGATTTTCAAAATATAACAAAAAGTTCTCTACTTCCCTGAATAACAATAAAAGTTGAGGAATTGTCTCCCTTTCTACGACACATAAACGCAATCGCATACATAAGAATTGGTTGTTTAAGCACAACGATTACTTTTTTTTCGAAATGAATAAAAATATCTTCTGATAGGGTTTCGTGATCCTAGTCAGATATTGTCCTCCGTTTCGTTTGTGCAGTTATTAAGGCATTATTTCCATTTAATATTTGATAGAAATAGTGTGTCCTTTTTGCGTGGACCCAAGCAGCCCCACCACTATAATATCTTAACGAGTAATGATTTACAACCGGAAGCTTTTCTGGACGAAAAATCTTCTCTTGGATGATAGTAAAATAAACCGATTAAAAGGGTGAGAGTTCATAATGGGAACCGAGACGCCCACAGGTAAATCTAGTCGTAAGCCTGTTAATTACAGGTAAAAATATGTAGTATCAAATTGATAATAACGCAAGGCCACATATCAGTTGGTGACATGACTGAGGGATACAGTCTCCAATGAAACCAAACGACCCATAATTTTGCTCCGTGCCGGTTTCTCAAACATATTTTCAACTTTCTCATCTCATAAGCCATGTTATGTTATATACAACTACGCAGTGTCCTGAATAAACATACGTTGATTTCAGAACAGAGCAAGGCTTAATATATATATGCACACTGTTTATGAATTACAAATTTTTGAAACGAAAGTCTGTCAGAAAAAGCATCGCCAGCGATGCACTTGTCAAAAATAATTACCCAACAACATTTGCATCCCTCCGGATCGAAAGATCGGCAGCATATTGTTATTGTGCTGACAATTTGTCAACGTTAACATTGCCGTAAGAGGTAGGGCTTCCATACTTGGTACGTGTGGTTATCTTGACAAGAGTTTTCAAGTGGTACAAAAATACATGACCAGGTGACCTTGACCATAACTTTTGACCTACATTTGGCCATAACTATTGCAACATAAGAGGTATGGTTTTCATATTTGTCCCGCGTTCAGAATTTTGTTGCAGCCGGGGGCAGAGTGTTTCATAAACACATATTGTTTTTATCTTTTTATATGGCATCAACCATTTTCAAGATTTGTGACTTACTTGTAGGATGATAACGCTTATCAGTCCAATGATAACTTATTTTCCACTCAGTTTTACTAAACACAGATTTGAATACCTGTGTATCATTTACATAGTTGTTTTTTATTATACATTGAGGTTTAAATCACCATTTTCCTTTCGATCTAGAAATAATTCTGATCGTACTTTCTCTTAGATATTCAATAAGAGACATTAAGTAAATCATTTTAAGCCCACTGTTCACATTATTATAAAACATATATGTCCCTTTTTACATCAGTTTTATACAAAAATATAAAAGACTCAAATTAATAAAGATTTAATTATTAGAATTCTATCAAAAGGTGAGAGCAGTTTTCATCTTCAGTTCTTGAATAACTTTCTATCAAAATGCAATTTAGCACATTTAGGTATTTTGTAAAGGTTTATATAAAAAATCTTTCCCAAGTAGAGTAAATTTATCAGCACCCCTCCGAAACTCGACAAGTAAGATTCATATTTGGAAGGTGGATATCATTGCTTGGTATTTTTTACCTATTCATAATACTTACATAAGGACAATTATCGACATTCACAGCAGTTCTATCTTTATCATTTCTCTAAAGGATTACCAGTACTTCAGCTTATAATAAGAATATATGGGGCTCTAGGTCATCTTGATGGCCACCGCGATTTATTTCTAAAGGGATGATATATATAAACAAATGAGATATTAAATTACAAATACAAAAAAAAAAAAAAAAAAACAAAAGAAAACAAAAAAAAACGTTCATAATCTCAGTCAAGATTGGCCGTGATGTACAACGTCCATTCATTTTCTCAATCAAGATTGGGCGTGATGTACAACGTCCATTCATTTTCTCAATCAAGATTGGGCGTGATGTACAACGTTCATTGATTTTCTCAATCAAGATTGGGCGTGATGTACAACGTCCATTCATTTTCTCAATCAAGATTGGGCGTGATGTACAACGTCCATTCATTTTCTCAATCAAGATTGGGCGTGATGTACAACGTCCATTCATTTTCTCAATCAAGATTGGGCGTGATGTACAACGTCCATTCATTTTCTCAATCAAGATTGGGCGTGATGTACAACGTCTATTCATTTTCTCAGTCAAGATTGGCCGTGATGTGCAACGTCTATTCATTTTCTCAGTCAAGATTGGCGGTGATGTACAACGTCCATTCATTTCATCAGTCAAGATTGCGCGTGATGTACAATCTCCATTCATTTTCTCAACCAAGATTGGCCGTGATGTACAACGTCTATTCATTTTCTCAGTCAAGATTGGCCGTTATGTACAACATCTGTTCATTTTCTCAGTCAAGATTGGCGGTGATTTGCAACGTCTATTCATTTTCTCAAGATTGGCGTCAAGATTCATTTCCTCAGTCAAGATTGCGCGTGATGTACAATCTCCATTCATTTTCTCAACCAAGATTGGGCGTGATGTACAACGTCCATTCATTTTCTCAGTCAAGATTGGCGGTGATGTGCAACGTCTATTCATTTTCTCAGTCAAGATTGGGCGTGATGTACAACGTCCATTCATTTTCTCAATCAAGATTGGCGGTGATGTACAACGTCTATTCATTTTCTCAGTCAAGATTGGCGGTGATGTACAACGTTCGTTAATTTTCTCAGTCAAGATTGGCCGTGATGTGCAACGTCTATTCATTTTCTCAGTCAAGATTGGCTGTTATGTACAACATCTGTTCATTTTCTCAATCAAGATTGGGCGTGATGTACAACGTCCATTCATTTTCTCAATCAAGATTGGCGGTGATCAAGATTGGCGGTGATGTGCAACGTCTATTCATTTTCTCAGTCAAGATTGGCCGTGATGTGCAACGTCTGTTCATTTTCTCAATCAAGATTGGCGATGATGTACAACGTCTATTCATTTTCTCAGTCAAGATTGGGCGTGATGTACAACGTCCATTCATTTCCTCAGTCAAGATTGGCCGTGATGTACAACGTCTATTCATTTTCTCAGTCAAGATTGGCCGTTATGTACAACATCTGTTCATTTTCTCAATCAAGATTGGCGGTGATGTACAACGTCTATTCATTTTCTCAGTCAAGATTGGCCGTGATGTACAACGTCCATTCATTTCCTCAGTCAAGATTGGCCGTGATGTACAACGTCCATTCATTTCCTCAGTCAAGATTGGCCGTGATGTACAACGTCTATTCATTTTCTCAATCAAGATTGCGCGTGATGTACAACGTCCATTCATTTCCTCAGTCAAGATTGGCCGTGATGTACAACGTCTATTCATTTTCTCAATCAGCATTGCGCGTGATGTACAACGTCCATTCATTTTCTCAGTCAAGATTGGCCGTGATGTGCAACGTCTATTCATTTTCTCAATCAAGATTGCGCGTGATGTACAACGTCCATTCATTTCCTCAGTCAAGATTGGCCGTGATGTACAACGTCTATTCATTTTCTCAATCAAGATTGCGCGTGATGTACAACGTCCATTCATTTTCTCAGTCAAGATTGGGCGTGATGTACAACGTCTATTCATTTTCTCAATCAAGATTGGGCGTGATGTACAACGTCCATTCATTTTCTCAGTCAAGATTGGGCGTGATGTACAACGTCCATTCATTTTCTCAGTCAAGATTGGCCGTGATGTACAACGTCTATTCATTTTCTCAATCAAGATTGGGCGTGATGTACAACGTCCATTCATTTTCTCAGTCAAGATTGGCGGTGATGTACAACGTCCATTCATTTTCTCAGTCAAGATTGGCCGTGATGTACAACGTCCATTCATTTTCTCAATCAAGATTGGCCGTGATGTACAACGTCCATTCATTTTCTCAGTCAAGATTGGCCGTGATGTACAACGTCCATTCATTTTCTCAATCAAGATTGGCCGTGATGTACAACGTCCATTCATTTTCTCAATCAAGATTGGCTGTAATATACATGATTGATTTGAAACACTGTCACCTCTTGTATGTCACATGTATAGAATATCACTGACTTTTAACATATCATGAACAAGCCAAACTATCTCAATACATTTAATTTTAACTCGATGTATCTCAACACAGCATCACTTGACCAATTACCAATCGATTTTATGGTTTCAACCGAAAAACCTAACTTTGCGAGCCAAGAGTCACGATGGTTGGCCAAGTAAGTGACATATAACTGGGGCGCTGATGACGACACCGAAAGAACGTGTTGGTTGATACTGGCGCAAAAGTTCAGAAAGCACCTGGCATGTGTGTCGTATGTTGACCTAGTATATATACCCCACGCCTTTTCTTTGTCGATTGCCGCTGCTGTCTCGAGGTCTCGAACTGTGGAACCATCTGCGAGATATAACACTTAGTGACATATGTTGAGAAAGTTCAAGTATACTGAAAACACTTAGACCAAGCGAGGGAATCCATAAGTGTATACAAAAGCTCAAGTTTGTCAATTTCATGAAGTCATGAGCTAGTATCAGCTACAATATCATACAACACGGGAAAATATTTTTGCTTTCAACGTTTATTACAGAAGGTAGGCCCCAGGGACACAAGGCTAAGTATATGGCACAGAATTCTTTCATATTGATATGTTCCTGATAAAAGGGAGGTAAATCAAGTTCCCAATTCACATAAAATAATCACCATTATAGCAGCCATCACCTCCATCAGATGATGCATCCGTCTGTATTGATGTGATGGGTTTAGTGTCCAGGATGGTGCATGTAACATTGAATATAGACATAAATCAGCAAAGAATTCCTCAGATAAAATCATTTTATGTGAATTATCACACAGTTTGTCTTTCATATTAATGATTCTCCTGAAGAATGTGCGACCTCCGTTTATTACTTGTGAAGCCCAGTGTAACTTTCCAACAAGCACCACAAGCTGTTTACGACTTGCTCTTTTTCGCGAAGCGAAAGTCAAAAGCATTTCAAAAGAACTTTCCAGCTTATCACGCGGTAATGAAAATGTCATGGAAACAGTATTGATCAGCACACCTAGGAAAACTATTTCCTGGGATGGGCATAGCGCTTTTGATCAATTAATGGCTAAACCAAGTGTACGAAGTAGTTTTAAAAGTTAATCCATGGCATTGAATCATTCCTTGTATGTTTACCCAAACACTAAAATATCATATAAATATGCTATTGCTATAAAACCATATTTACATTTCAGTATCCTACAAACCGCACTTGTTAGCGTCTGAAAAATCTGAGGGCTTTTACATGCCCCAAAGGGAAGCTTGGTATCATACATGTATGTAGGAGATGTGTCCCCATCAAAAATATACTTCAAACCAGTAGCTTTATAATTAGATGGATGGATTTTAACTGATCAATAACCTGAACTCAAATCAATTTTAACAAGATAACAGCCAGGTGTTATGTGTGAGGCTGCGTCGCGCAAATCCATATATGAACATGAACAGTCACTAGTAACATAACTATTTACACACTTGTGTATAGGGTGACTAGCATCGTGAATTAGTCTCAATTTATTCTTTGATTTTGGTATGCACGAATTATCACTGGCTTTTTGTCTGTGACCACATAGCTACCATTTTAAATTTCACACCTTATCTGTTCCTGAACCAGACGAGAATGTTGTTTACATGAATTATAATTCTCTACTTCTGCTTCTGTAACCTGATCCACCACATCGTTTGTGGGGAGAAGGGACTGCCATGACTCAAAGTTCAAACAATTATCGTTTTTTACACTATTTACAGTCACGGTATTATTCTCAGAACTACCGAGAGCAATACTGACCCCATTCATGGGGTCAAATGTCACTTTTTTGCTTGATCATGAAATAAAGCACTATGTTCCGCATAGCACACTGAACATACATGTGCCAGTTTACACATTTTAAAGTCACAGCATCAGCATTGTATTTTCGACATATCTCGCGGTTATCTGGAATAAATGGACTACGTTTCCTTTGTGTTGCCCGTGCCGAGGTATCCCGTTTCGATGTCGTTCCAAGGACCTGCTTCGTCAAGTTACTAGCCTTTGGTACAAGCTGAAAATCTTGAATACCAGGTTTCGGCGTATCCCATCTGAACTTTTCTTCATGTTGGGCCTCACGATATTCCCGATCAAAAAGCAAAACACTTCCACGCACGTATTTTGTACTCAACTATACGTTGTTGGTATATTTCTTTCAGTTCTATCAGTTCCTGGAGGATCATGGTGTTACCGTAACCCCATTGCTTGATACTAATTTTGTAATACTCCTTATCCAGTTTTTCATGAACCTTGACCCCTGTGTTTGTAAATGTAACAATGTCCTCATCATTAGCTAATAGCTGGAGGTCTTTCCAAATATTGTGATGAACAAACCGAAGTTTTAAAGTTTTGGGGGGGTTCAATGCTTTGAAGTAAAACGTTCAAGTCTGTGTCTGACATATTATGCCTACCTGCCTGAGGCTCCTGTCGACGCGGAGCAATTAAATCCTGTAGACACTGAGGCGCGGGTCCTACCAAACCGCCATCGAGACCACGTGGAGGCACTCTCCCCTCTGTGTCGCATTATAATTGTTCTTTGTGGATTTTATGTCTACAGGCCTCGATCTTTCGCCGCAGTGACATTTTTCGCAGTTGTGATTCAAGTACAGACTCGTCTCGGAATCGTCTTTTTGTACACTTTCCTCACCGTGCTGATCCATGACTGACCCAAGAATTTTTTCCTTTCAGAAGGTTGGCGATTTAGAATAACCTCTTCGTCTCGTTCCTCTTAAGAATCATGACGATCGCATCTCTGCATGAATGATTGTTGATTACTAGAATGTTCTCTTAAATTGTAATCGTTTGCCATAGCCACTTTTCGTCGATGTCCGTCAATTATAAAGCCCTCGCTGAGAACTTGCTAGCCAGACATGTTTGAAAACGGGGCCAAGAGGGGATAACTCAAAGCGACTTATCGGACTAAGACTTATGAGGTTGCGTTCACGCAAAATACAATTTAATATATATTTTCTCTTTGCGCTGGTGTACCCAATTTCACCATTAACACGCTCAAAAAACCATTCCATCGCTCCGCTTTCTCACGTGTATCTCGTTCCTTCCGCCCTACTAACGCTCACATTATGAACCCGGATTCGGTGTATCCGTAACTATAATATTTATAATAAATCACACAAGAATGACTTTGAAATACAAAGGTTAGAAAACATCGGAATAATAAAATAAGATATATTTACAGGGATACCGAGTCATAATCTACTGGATATTTGTTTATATATAATTATAAACGGTTGAAACTGTGACAAACACACTGTAAGTTCTGTTGATGCAGAGGTTCGGTTATTTGACATTCAATACTAACACGAGTATACACCCACGAACTATACATAACCAAAGACATCTAATAACCATGAATCAAAATAGCTAATTAAACAAACACCTTTAACTCACAACACGATGAGTCATGCTTTTTCTACAGTTTAACATACATCAAATGTACCACTATGACGCATATCTGTCTACACTGTGTGTTTATTAGACGTCATTGCATTAGGACGGTCTTCTTATGAACCATATGTCATTTCGTCACCAAATGAGATGGAGTTTACTAATGAGTAATATCCATGATGTAAAAAGACAAAGTCTTTTAAAGAACACAGCATTTACTGCATAAGAAACATTCATTCTAGTTTTAAAGATTGCACTGGAGGTTTGTATAAAAGACGTTCAAGTGTAAATAATTCAAAGTGAAACCCAAAACAGTAGAGCCAAACAATGATTTAAACTGCATCATACAGCTGTTTCGTTCTTCTAGGACTCGTCAGTGATTCTAAGGGCCTAAAATTTGAAGCCAAGGAGACGACAAAGGAGAATCCAAAGTGATCAAAAAATGTCAAAAGTCAAAAGTGCAAAAGCTTTTACTGCAAATATCTGTGAAGCAATTCACAATATAGGTTTCTCACTCTCGCAAGAATAGAACAAGCTATACTGTTCTGAATCTTGTTCTTGGATTGGTTATGAAATGCCTTTATTCTTTACATAAAAAACTAAAACACAATTTCCAGATAATAACGTTATATCTATACAAAAGAAAACGTATTTCTCCATGATTTTTTGCTCATGTTTTGAAATTATTTCCTCATTGAATATCGCTTCCTGTTTTCGGACTATTAAAGTAAGGTCAACACATATGGGAAGGGAGGTAGTTATGTCTCTGGTTTTATTCCCATACTAAAGTCTTAAAAGGGTATTGTTCTTAAGGCGTTAACGTTTCATGATGACGTCAAAATCTAAACTGTCACATTGTAGTCGAATCGAAGTGATGTTTTGAGCGGATTTTTGCTGTTCTAGATAACCACAAACAGTATTACCATGTCTTCTCATAACTATGGTGGATAACTTCTGTCATTTCAATATTTCATTTAGTCGCCTCGACAGAGCGATAACATTCGTCTTTTCGCCTCTCTAATCGTCGTCATTTTGCAACGCTATAACTAAAAACATTTCTCAATCGCGGGTGACAGTAAATTCCTGTCGCCATCGAGCGCGTATTCCAGAGCGTTCCAAATGCTTCTTGAGGAAACTCAATTTTATTCTTTATCGTGCCACGAATCAATCCATATAAGACATCTCATATAGAAACGAGAGTTCAGTGTTATAAGATACCCCATATACGATATAAAATAACTCATATAAAAATCGAATAGGACATCTTACATACAGAGATAACATGTAATTATTCATATATATAGTATATCATTAAGTACACATTATTTAATCTCTATATCAGATACCTTATATAATATGCAAGATATCGTATTTCGATATGCAGTATACCTTATATAGTATACTATATATATATTATACAAATTGCATAAACATGGCTTACCTTAGTAGAAAATTAAGTTTGAAAGTGATTGTGCCAAAAGGCGGGAAACACAAAGCTGGTCAAATCGGTCACGATATACACTGAAGTTATTGAGAAATAAACACAATGTCTCACACTAAGGTTACCGATTCAGAAACAGTGGTAATTATTAATATTATTGTTTGCTTGGACAGTTGTTTGTATACACGTGATTTCACAGTTGCGTAGATTTCGCCTCAAAATAACAATAAAGGGTGTTATACTTGAGTCCGTAGTTCTGGCAATTTTGCAAACAAGAGGAAAACTGTAAATATTTTGTGGCGTGAAGCGTTCCACAACTTTTCCGTCAATATGTGCGTTTTTAACTCCTCGTGTGGTCATGACTTTCATGACAGCTTTGCTCTGAAACTATTGTGCTGAAATAGTATTATATATGTAGCGTCAGATTAGAAATAAAATTGATTTTCTTCAGAAGTTTAGTGATAATATGGCCATCTTGTGTCTTCGATTCTTTCACCCTTGAATCGGATTATCTTCTCACAAGCGGTGTCATGATTCTTGCACCCCAATAACCTGGATTGAATTTTGTACTGATAATGTATAAGTTGAGAGTATAGGTCGCCTATATAGCCTTGGCTAGTGGGAATTTCCCTTTAGCCGTGCAGGAGAGTATCCGGCTAGACACCGAAGGGTCGTTAGTTCGAACCCCAGCAATGGCAGGGTGTATTTCATTACTCGTTCCTATTACAATAATAAGAATTATCTTGTATATGTATGTTTAATCATTCTTGGAATATTTTCGTAATGTTTTGGACACATCATGGACACCTCAACATCAGCTGTTACAATGCTGTGACTTTTAACAGTGGTTTCCTCCATTCTTGATTATGACCAGGATATTTTCCATCACCAATTGTTTGTTGGCACTTAAACGTGGTATTACAATTAGAACCGATGCATTAGGTTTCCACTGAAAGCATTGGTTGGAGATATTTCCGTATTGATACATTTTAGAAAATGGTGGTTATGCTGCTGTGAACAGGCTATCTGAATTGGTCTATCAAAAGTAATGTTTTGTGTTCGGAAGAGATTCGACATCACTGCATGAGTCTCCTCATTCTTATAGTGTTTCCTGTTGTTTATTGATACATTAACTGCATTTAAAATACATCAAAACGTTCACAGGAAAGCAGACCAAACCTTATGTTAGAAATAAGAATGTATTTTAGACAAACAAATATAGCATAGATAGTACACACAATTTTATTCCACATAATTACGTGCAAACAAAAAGACGTGATACTATTTGTAATTTTTTCTAATCATTTCGTTAAAAATTGGTGGAAAAATCGGCCATAGGTATATCATTGTCTCAATATTTTAAGGGAAATTAATCGAAGTTCAGTGACTGATCATCCGATTCATTCGTACAATAGAACAGAGATTGCTTGTCACATGCAAAGGTCTAAATCAAATATTAAATGCATTATGAGCATTTTGACAATCTAAATTAAAATAAGGAATGACATTATGTGAGAAGCAGTGAATTTGCTCTTCTTTTTGATGTTTTAACCAGTTGTTAGATATTCACTAAATAACAACAACAAAGATAAATCAATATAACATAAGTAAGATAACACTAACAACTGATATACAACGTAAGGACCTTTTCATGACCCGAATACAATTTTTTTCAGCTTGTTTCTTGATAAATAAAAAGAAATGAAAAATAAAACAAAGTGAACCCCCACTATTTAATCATGTGAGAATCCTCTCGAACCGAGTCTTTAAGATTAGTCAACTATTAGAAAATCATTATTCAAAATACAGAGTTTTTAGATATTATTTGTCTTTCTTTCTTTCTTTCTTTCTTTCTTTCTTTCTTTCTTTCTTTCTTTGTGACTGTCACGTGTTTCAACCTTGGTAAATCAATTGAAGTTTTAATATTTTCACACCTTTTCTTTATTTCCAAGTATAAAGCAATCACCTCTAATGAAAAGACGTATTTCATTTTTATATAACTGCGAAAATAACAAAGTATGTGTGTTATACAAACGAAATTATCAGAAAAAGCAATGACACAACACATTTTTTTTTATATGACCTTTCAAAAAACATGGAGGGGGTAAGCGTCTTTCACTTCATCAGCGACACCTGCTATGTTAATGTTGTTCAATTCATGTAAGTTATGTCACGTATCTCACATTATATCAGAACGAAGTATACAACAACAGGACCAACAGACAAACTTACAAGCATCAAACACATCCACCTTCATCTCACACAAAACAAATAGAATAATATTACTATGACTAAAACTTCCCCATATTTTTATATTTTTTTACCTCGTTACAAAGCTTACATCACTGTAAATTCTCAGAATTCCCCCTGATCGTTGAAGTAGGGCATTTTTGTCGATGCGACACATCTTCATATCTCTGAAGACTTGATATAACAGCGTGTATGTTTTGTTGTATTTTTCAGCAATAATGTTTAAAAATACTCAAAACATTAGTTTTATTAGCCCGTCTTTATTCACAATACATGTTCAGATAATAAAAACGGATTAGCAAAAACGTTGTGTTAAAAATAATATTGTTTGAATTTCAATCGAGTTCTATGTTCTGTGTCTTGAAGGTGAACGTCAGAATATTCTAAACACTTTCTCATTTGTCTTTCAGCCACTTGACCTTTGTTTGCGAACCAGCAAAGACAGGAGTAATAAAAACTCTGGGCATCAGGATTTTATCAAATCTACTAAGAACCCGTTGAGAGTTGTGGAAGATATAGCATCAACCAAGAATTCGTTGAGTGTCATTACAGCACCAGGATATGGGATTGAGGATAATGAGAAAATGGTACAGAGATGGCTTCAGCATATGCCGAGAGATAGGATGATTTCGACCGAGTATAGTCCGTATCCCAAAGCGACACCTAAATCTAACGCCAGAAAGACGTCCTTAGAGCGAAATGAGGACTCTTACGATAACAACATTAACGTCAAGCTTTACAACGAGCCACTCTGGAGAATCTTTAGACGGGAGGGAACAGAGATGATCATTAACAGATCTGGAAGGTAGGCTGCGTTGGATTTACTTTCAGACTCGATTAAAATCCATTTGATATATCATTCTTGAAAAAAGAAAGAATTTATAAACACAAAATGCGCGTCTATGTTTAATTGTCTTCATTTCAATAACTTCACACTTTGTGTAACAATCATGGGATTGTGCCTACAGATAAGGTATCAGACCTTGATTCTTGTCTGTAAACATTATTATATTACCTGTAAGATGTAGACTTTCTCGATAATCAAGGAAATCCTACTTTCGCATTATAAAAAAAATTGGATAATCTAAATAATCACTTTCATTGTTTGACGATGCAATACTGAATATACCTGAAAAAATCTTTACCCTTCTAGATATATCTCGGTATATCGAATCTAATATGTTTAAATCCATGGAGTGTTGCAAATTACTGGTTGTTTACTAATTACTTATCAGTCATTTGTTAGTTATACCTGTGCTATTTCATGACATTGTGTTTTTTGTTGAGTAGCATTACGTAGGTAACCGATAATATGTAGATAAAAAATCCATTTATCCTGCCCACAATATCATTATCATACAAACAATACATGAGAATGCTTGAGCTATTATCTGTTAATCTGTTGTTAGCTCCGTATTATTTCATATACATAACTAAGAAAATGTTTGGTTACGTTTTTCATTATTAGCCAATTTCTTCCAGGCTCATGTATCCACGCGTGGAGGTAACCGTGGAAGGCCTTAATACAGGCAGTATGTATAGCGTCGAGATGGTCGTGATTGCTGTGGATGACAAGCGCTACAAGTACAAGGACAACATGTGGTCAGCAATTGGCAAGTCCGACGTGCGTCATCCAATCACTCCTTATAAACACCCTAGCTCACCTGCTATGGGATCTCATTGGATGAAAGATATTCTGTCCTTCGGACATGTGAAACTGTCTAATCATGGAGGCCCTGGCAAGGTATTGAATTACACAGCAATAAAAAGTTGTGTTGAAAAGAGTCATCCCTTATTTGAAATATAAAATTATGATGATCTCTCTTTTATTAAAGTTCAGACTATAGAAAATATACGTGTCCAATAATCAATCAAACGCAACGAAGGACCAGGAGAGTCGGCATGTGCAATTTGGCCACGGACACAGGACGATTTGAATAGCCAAGAATCAAATGGTATTTTTTATCGTAGACAACGCTTGGAATACAGTATTAAACTCCTTGGTACTGCTGTGCAATATGACTGCAATGACTGCATGGACATCGAATGTTTTTTTCCAGTCCCGGATGCATAACGTCATAACTTTATCAATTCCTCAAATCAGACGTATTCGTTGCTACAGACACTGACATTACAATAACTCAAGCCGATATATCGTCATGTTTGAAAGTCTAACGAATACAGAAACTATTAGGTGTCCCTTGTCCCTCTCCCTCTAATGGATTCCATAACTTCACAAGAATCCTTATTTGCAACGTTTTATTGCCGGGTGATCTAGCTGTTTAGCCAAACCCATAATTCAACCTACTTATTAGCAATCTTATTGCTATCAAATCTGAGTTAGTCTCATTTTGATACGATTTTTTCTGGTAGTAGAATTAATAGTATGTGGATTTTAAAAACTCCAAAGAGCTTTTGATCAATCTTCGATAACATCTTCTAAAACACTGCTTAGTGTAAGCTTGAATGTTTTGATTATGTACTTTTTCTGGGTTTTTTAATTGCAAATTGTCCCTATCTGCATGTTGTGAAAAGGACAATTTTGTCTGTTCACACATAAAGAGATGTGCTTCTTGTGTACCCAACACGGGCTCTTAGTTGCTTTTCTGATGTTATATTCTCTGCGAGTTGGGCACGAAATTTCATATATGGCATTTGTTGTCAGAACCTTCTTAGGGTTTAATATTTTGGCCCTTAACATCACTGACAAGTCTTGGAAGGATGAAACAGCTTTATAGTGTTATCTGCTACTGTCTTTTGTACGATATTTGTTCGAAGAAAGAATCATCACCAAAGCATTTTAAGTGGTTTTGTCACTTTAGCTAGAGCAGGCCTAATTGAAATCTGAGCCAGGTCATCAGTGCTTTTTGCAATGTGTAAGCTAGTTTCCAGTCGTTAATAGGAAAAGCTTATGTGTTTAACACTTTCACGACATCCCTTTTGCCAGATTTAAGAGTTGCAGATAAAACAGATTTCTGTAACTTATTTTTATGAGATTTTTATGCTTTGTTCGATGAAACTAAAATACCTAATTTTCGAGAATTTTTTATTGATTGGCTGTACAAATCAAATCGTAAATGAGTTATCAGACTTGTGAATTAGTACTTCAGAAAATGAATCTACATAATTTGCCAGAGATACAGAGGACATTCCTCAGCAACCAGTTTTACCTGTTATTTTATCCGGGATGGCAATAGATTGCGTTTTATGGATATAGAAGTGAAGTCCTACATACAGGGTGTTCTAGTTTATGGATACATATTTAAAGAAAGAAAATGTCAATGATATCAATACGTATCATTAACGCTGGAGAAAATTGGATTTAAAACATGATAGAGTATTAGGCATTTCAGTTTCATCCAAGGAAACATAGAAAAGAATTGAGATAGGTTTTACTGAAAAATATCATTATGATATGATAATTAAATACAGTAAAAAAAATCATTAATAAAGTCCAAATATCCAATTGAGCTGTATAGTTATATATGTTTTCATCATATGCTTATTCTGTTGTACATTTTGTAGATTTGCCTCCAGTCAATGCATAAGTATATGGTACAGATCGATGTGATACATCACGACACGATGGACCAATCGTACCACTTCACCCTCCCTGGTACGGAGTTCATCGCTCTTACTGCATACCTCAACGAAAAAATCACCGACCTCAAAATCTCGCATAATCCTTTTGCGAGAGCGTTCAAGAACAAGAAACTATCGTATGTACAAAATTACATAATTACTAATGATATGAAGGGTAATGAGTAAGTACAATACTATTCAAATAATTTTTGTAAGACAATATGAAACTTCATCTTGCTTACATAGATATATGCATGCATGACAGTACCAATGTGCACGTGTGTGTTTTTTTTTTTTTTTTTTTATTTTACTGTCAAAAAAAGTAAATTCCTATGTATGAAATGTTCTACAATATATCGGACTTAACATGTCTACAATTTATATGGTAGTACAGAGTCACACAGCCACCTATATTTTACATATTTCCCATGTGCATCGAAACTACACACCAGAATGGAAAATCAAGGACACGACAGATTCTTCTACATCAACCTCTTCCCTGGATATTTCCTACAACGAAACCAACATGGACAGCTTTCCACCAAACTGTATGATGAACGTGATGCTGAGTGATCATTTACTGCTATTTGGCTGATTGGATGAAGCCCGAATATTTTTTGCAGAAATAGATAAAATAGACCTGAATATAGGTCAGGTTCCCATCTTTTGGCAAACCTTCTCTAGGTTCATTATAGAAACGTAACATTCAAATAATATGCATCTGTGTCATTTGGTTAGTCAGAAATTCGACCATATGACCATGAATAAAGGCCAAGGTCAATTCTTTTAGCAAACATTGACGGACTTCAATATAAACATTCTGCCAAATGCCATTCTTATAAACGTTTTAGTTTGGCACAGAGGTCGAATTTCTAACAGAAAAAGTTTTAGCCGACTTCTTCACACTAACCAAAAGCGTAGATGCTAATAGGTTTCTTTAATGAAGCCCGGGTGGTAAGGTGTGCTAAAAGATATTTTAAAGTGCAAGAAGTCATCAACTGACTGACAAACTCGTAACACATGGTTTCAAGAGATGCATGCAGAAGATAATTATGGGGAACTTTAACGGTAATCGTCGTGATATAAAACTATTCCATTTGTTTGTGCAGTATACAGCAGGGCGTGTGTGATGCTCGTCAGTTTGTTTCTGTTGTTGTCTACCTTGTTCTCATTTGAGAACGTGACATTACTGACTTGGATTGATCAGAAGTCGCTTACTCCTCCGGACACTTGGTCGTCGTAGTCGTAGTGATGTCACTGAAAAATATTCCATTTGTTTGTGCAGTATAAAGCAGGGCGTGTGTGATGCTCGTCAGTTTGTTTCTGTTGTTGTCTACCTTGTTCTCATTTGAGAACACGAAATTACTTACTTGGATTGATCAGAAGACGCTTACACTTCGGGACACTTGGTCTGATTTCCCTTGTGCTTTTTCAGGAATCTCTGTGTAAAAAATCTTATTTTTATTTCATATTTTGTTCTACTTTAATTGAATATGAGTATGATTATGTTCACATGTTGATATCTCTTGTTGTTTTGGTAACGTAATAATGTAAAGTTATGCATACTTACAAAACATTTTTCGTATCAAAAACTGTGAAACCAAAAATTTAAACAACCTAGTGATCAAAACTACAGCTTGCATGGTATGGCTTTTGATATTGTTAGCTTATATAGTGTTTGTCTCTTCCCCATGTTGTATGTTCTCAGACTTGCATGGAAACCTTCGCAAACGTAATAATTGTTTTAAAACGGTATTCTTAGCCAAGAATCTTAGGCAACCATACACTAAGTCGTTGAAATTTGTTATATCGTTATAGCCCGTGAAGGTAACATATGTCTGATTGCTAAGCATTCTGTCACATATTAAAAGCGTTTGAAAGTGTTTGTAGGGTCTAATTATCAATTGATATGGTAACCAAACACATTCGATGTTAGATATCGCATCAGAAATAGTGGAATAAATGTCCTATTGAAAAAAATGAATGCTAGAAAATGCCAACGTTTATCTGATCGCGTAACCAGAGACCGTTTTGATAAGTAATCATTTTTGAACGGTTTGATTTATAAACAAACATTTGGCAATAAATGACAGCTAGAAGTAATGGTAATTTGGTAATATTTCACCTCAGACCCCCATCCCCCTTTCCCCCTTTCTTTGTTTTGATCAGCACTTTTTCATTCAGTCCACATGGTCGATAGTCGTTTCTGTTATTATGTATCACGTTTCTTTCAATGTCCGATCATTACATATCAGATTTTCCTATGTTTCGAATCTTTACTCAGTTAACTTTAAATTTATCAGGGGATCAAGGTTTGGCAATTGAAAATAACAAAGAATTAATCTGCATTGAACATTTTAATGTCAGTTCTAGAAATAGTATATAAGATATCCTTATTTAAAACCAAACTTTAATATTTGATCAAATTTACGATACGAAATATTCCAAATTAAATCAATCACTTTTGTTGGTTCTGATGGAAGTGTACAAGTAATTTTACTATGGGAATTACACGAAATAAGCGGCAAAAAAAGGGAGTCGAGCAGATGGCTCCATTTGTTTACTGTATAATTGTACATTTTATTTCTCTTTCACTTGTTATTTTCTACTTTTTTACTCTGCCATGCTATTGTTTGTAAATTTGTTGTACCTGAGTATGCGGAGGGAGACTGTGTTATTGAAGTTATTTTAACAATGACCAATCCTCAATTCACTATGGAATATTTCAATATTTTCACGGAAGGTGTGATATTACAACACCGTTAGAACCATTATTGGCAATGTCTGAAAACCACGGGGTAACATTTTTAAGCATACAGGTGAACTGAATCTGAGGAGAAAATGTGACTAATTATTTGTCTCTCACACCTCCCGTCGTAAAATACCGGAAGTTGTTGTGAACTGTGACAACTGTATATGTTTCCCTACCATCACAACGTAATGTAACATTGACATGGTTGTGCCTCATCAACTGATGAGGTCAAAATGCATGAGACCTTTGAAAGTTTTATTTTCTCTCTCTAGCAAACACTTTTTAATGAAAAATCGTTAATTCTCTTTAAATTTTTATTTCATCCTAATCTTTACCACGTTTGATGTTTTTATCCCAATTTTTACCACGTTTGATATGGTAAGTGTCGTATTTGTATTTTTTGTTGAACGACTTGCTATATAATCATTTCAAAGGTTACTATTTTAATCTATACCGTATTGCATTCATTAAGTGCCAAGTTCGATACAAACTGATTTACTCCATCCGTTCAAAAAGCACATTGGCTTCATATTGCACACGTGCCGGCCGCTGCCACGAGAAAATATGACATTTGTGATTAACGAATAGCATTTATACGTCAGCTCTGTTCTACTATGCAAAAGATCAACGGTTCAAATAAATCGTCATACTTTGGATTTTTTTTCATCAACCTGAATAAAACTGTTAATATGTTACTAATATTATTTTTGATTTCCAGAGACAATGATGTCGACAGCCATCAAAAACAGAAAAAGTCCCGTCTTAAATGTAAATAAAAAATGTTACCATCATTGAACACGTGTAAAATAGTACAAAACATTTTCAAACCTGCCCTTACACGTGCCCTTATAGAAATTCAAGTCTATATGCCGTCAAAATTTGTGTTTCGCTAAGGTAGATATGGGCTTATCTGTGAATTATGTAACAGGTAACTATCTTATTCAAATTTTTGTAGGTTATTAAGTCAGTCCTAAGAAGACAAATAAGAAACAAACATTCTAATACTTAAAATGAAATTATTCATGAATGTAGCTAAATTACCAAACTTAAAGATGTATTTTCTATGAATTCGGAAGTAGAATGTATGATTAATATCTCATATCTAACTGGACATTCGTAATATTGAGGTTCATGTCTGATTGCTGATGGTGTTTTATGTCAAAAATACACATTTTCATTGTAGCCACAGAAGTTAACAGTGTATTTAACGACTCCGCTTCCTCTCCTGGCAACAGTTCCACGGAGAGCTTGAAGAATCACTCCCATTCTTTGGAATGTAATGTATATTTCATGTTACAGAATGGGCTCAGCAAACAATGTTTTGAACGGAATTTCTGTTTTGGTAGCTTTTAGTGAAATATTGGAACAGACATATTATATGGGGGAAAGCTGTTTTTTTCAATATCAAAGAAATAAAGGGATAAGGTTGTTGCTAAAAATACGACACATTGTAAATTCTAGAGTTGCTACTACATTTATGGTAATCGTTTCCGACACAGCTGATTAGTTCATATGGATTTTAGCGCGAAGGTAGGGATATGGTATATCACAAGAGACATGATCAGAATTCTAAATCCGGACCTATGCGGCGTTCAATTCCATCTGAATAGGGGAATAGCTTGATACGTACACTGAAATGTGAAAATAAATGACGCGATATAGAAATTGCTGTTCCAAGGGCAAAGGCAAGATTGGTTTTCTTTATCATGTTCTTACAAGGAAATAGTTTTCTCGAATATAACATCATTCGTATTTATTCAATAATAAGTTTTACCCACAAAATCATTTTAAGTGTAAGAGGTTCAAAACAGGCGTATTTTGAGGCAAATTACTATTTTTACCATATGAAATTTAAAATACATCTTTTAATGGAATTCATTTATTGTTCAAAATAACAAATGTGGTGAATCGTGTAATGAAATTGGTTTTTTTTTTCAAAACAACAATAGGAAGTTGTTACTGTCAATATAATTATGTAATAACAACTTTCAGCATTTGTTTTATTAAATTTCCCCTAACTTTTTTATGTAGCACATTACATTCTATAGATTGTGCATATATGCAATATGAAGATTTAGTGAACACGTTCTTTCAATATTTTATTTCTGCTGATTCATGTTTTCAAGTTACACAATTTAATATTATATTATACAGACAGGTTCCGTAAGGAGTATATGGATAGAAGACTCAGTGGCTTGCCGCCATGGTCATGTCTGGTCACTTCGTCCGGCCTCTACCGCAATCAAATATTCACTGGTGACTAGCTGAGCTGCGAACCCGTCCTGTAATCTACACTTCATGGATATAAATTAACGACATGAATATGTCCGATTTGAAATGATGATGACTAACGCTTGTCCTTTGTATCATTCGGGAACTGTTGTGATTGTGTTTGTCGTAGGTGGTCGATTCAATTCATTGTATTTTACATATTAGGAAATATAATTGATATTTTGTCTTAATACTTACAACAATCTCACACTCAGGTTATTGGTATTTGAATCATAGAAGCCATTGAAGGATACTAGTGTTATTAAACACAGTGAAATATGCGTGCAAACTATTAACATATTGTGAAAATAAAATTTAAGAGGTAATACAAACAGATAATGAACGATAAGAACATAGTTATCATTAAGAATATAAATCTTAATCTGTGTAATTGCGGGCGATGATTGGTTTTGTTGGCGTTGTGTATGAAATCTGTCTAAAGAATATTGCTATTTCAGCAATCTTCACAAATCTTTTGTAGGTTTTCTTTAACACACAGGAGGGAAGAATTTTGTTTTGAAAACATGGCAAGGAAGAGAGGTCAATTTAT